ATATACAAATACACATATATAGTTTGAGCCAAATCTCACAGCTGGTTTAAGAGATGGATTTTGTTCTTTCCAAGATTAAAAATATTTCCCTCTCCTTTTGTCAAATAAACCAAATTTCTAACTGTGAAAATCACACAAAGTTTCAGAAAACATTAAATTAATGCACCACAGAGAACAGTTGATTAAAGATTGAAATATTTCTGAGCAGACCTGAAAAATACCTCTGTATGTCTGCTGGCAACTGCTAGCAACATCTTGAGGAAGGACATGCTACCCCCTGGATCTGAATGGAGTAGATTGTGTGTTTCCCTCTGTCTATGTTGGACAGCAAGCCGGGCTGACCGCTTGATCATTGCTCCGCATCCCGGGGGAGGAACTAAGCTCACTGTGCTTAAACGCAAATCAAGCATAAAAAGTGGTAAATAAGTGCCTTCCAACCTACTAGAAGCTACAGTTTGAAATCATAGTATGGTACGTATGAATGCTAATAACATCCATTTCATGGGTTGATAACAATTAATAATAAWAATTCACAGTGGGTGTCTTAAGTCTAATTACCCCCCATTAACAGAACATTGCAGTAATTTTCTGTTTATAATTACTGTATAATACTACATCAAAAGACAAACATTTTTTAAACTGTACTTAAAAAGGTTAACAAAAAATGCTCTTATTTAAGCAAAAGAAAATCAAAAGTGACTGTGTAATGCTTATCTTTGTTTAAAGAGGTCATTTGAATTGATGGAYAGCCAAATAAATGTTGTGGACAGGGTGTTTGTAAAACACACTAATTTACATAGTGAGGGTGCTGTGATTCTGATGAATGATCACATGATGCATAAAGGAGGACTGGAAACTAATAAAAACAAAATTTAACCCAAACACAGACAGTTGAGGAATGGAGATCAAATGTATTATTGGCTTGAGATCAGCTGTGAGTTTGTTAGAACTGACAACAGTTGTTGTTTTGGTTGTGTGTCTGGATGGTCTGAAACAAAGGGTTGAGCCTGCAGAGGCTCTGACTACTGCTGGTGTCAGTACTGAGCCTTCACTGGTGAGATGTASTCAGCAGAGTACGCCTCGTTCACCTGCATTTTCAATGGATGGAGACTTTCTTGTAGGAGGTGTTTTCTCTATTCACTACAACCTGCCGATAATGATTTATAACTACACCATTAAGCCTGAACCTTCAAGATGTGTAGGGAGGTAAGTAAATGCAAAAAGAGGAGGAAAATAATGTCCTTTGTGTACACATCAAAAAGATGTGGGCTGCAAAGTTTGCATGCATATTAAAATGTAAAAACAAACTGATAAATAAAAACAGTTTTTTTTGATTGGCAAGAATTTTTTAAGTACACAATGATTTTTTAAAACATAAAATAATGTGAAATATGTAGAGAATGTAAATTAAGTTTTTAATAATGTTTCAACTGTCAAATTAGTCACAAAAATAGATTATTACTCACGGTATGATTTTTCATAGTTTAGTTACATTTTAAAACTGACAAAAATTTACAATTTAATAAAAAATGTTTTCTTGTTTATTCAGTCTGTATGTTTTAGCTTTTCATTTTATAATGTCATCATTCACCTTGTTTACTGTGTGCAGCCTTATATCCAGAGAACTACGTTTTTCTCGAACTATGGTCTTTGCCATTGAGGAGATTAACAACAGCACAGAGCTGCTGCCGGGCATCAAACTCGGATATCAGATCTATGACTCGTGTGGTTCAGTACCCATGGCTGTTGATGTGGCATTTCAACTGACAAATGGTCAGGATCCTGTGTTTTACAAAGGCAGCAATTGTTCCCAGTCTGGTGTGGTGATGGCTGCTGTTGGAGATGCTCCATCCTCGCCAACAATCAGCATATCCCGCATTATTGGGCCTTTCAATATCCCTCTGGTAAAATCTCTGGAGTTTATTATAATTTACCTTTGAAAGTATAACTAAAAAGCTGTTTGTTTCCCCCTTATGTTGCTTTGTTTTAATATGTAGGTGAGTTACTATGCAACTTGTGCCTGCCTGTCAGATAAGCAGCAGCACCCCACTTTTTTCAGAACAGTCCCAAGTGATCAGTTCCAAGCTGATGCACTGGTCAAACTGGTGAAACACTTTGGTTGGACTTGGATCGGTGCTGTGTACTCAGACTCGGATTATGGAAATTATGGCATGGCATCTTTTCGTGATGCAGCTCAAAAAGAAGGGATCTGTTTGGAGTACTCTGAAGCCTTTTTTTGGACTGACACACATAGCAAGATCCAGAAAGTAGCTGACATTATCCGAAGGTTTTAAGTACAATGTTTTATTATTTAAACAATAATCTAAAATTACTTAACAAATATAACAAATAAAACTTTCTTTATGTATTGTTTTTTTATGAATTGTTGGAGAAGTCATCCATAACAACATGAAAAGGTTTTTTGAAAAAATGTGGTTTTAATAATAGAACTTGTGCGTGTTGTAACATCTTAATAGTTATAATTAAATGAAATACGTATTTAAATTATGAGTTGAACTGGTTRCCATATGTTAACTGGTAATTAACTGTAATTTCATTGTGCTCTGTGCATTGACAACAAAGGTCTATCTTAACATGTTTTCATGTCTCTGCAGGTCAACAGCAACTGTTGTTGTAGTTTTTACAGCCTCTGCAGACATCAGGGTGCTGTTCGAGGAGCTGGCTCAGGATCCCCCACCACCTCGTCAGTGGATAGGAAGTGAGGCTTGGATTACTGACCCACACTTTTCAAAATTCAGTTTCTTTGCAGGAGCCATTGGAGTTGCCATTCAGAAATCTGTCATACCAGGACTGAGAGACTTCCTGCTGGATTTGTCTCCCCCTAAAGTAGCTGCCTCTGCAGTGCTTACTGAGTTATGGGAGGATTCATTCAATTGTACACTGACAAAAAGTAAACTTTTATTCATGTATTTTTTCTTCACTTTTAGTTAGCAATACAATATTTTTTTGATTTATAGCTATTGTTTATTAAAAAAATAAAATTACAACTTAGCTTTGTTTACTTCCCTAAGAAAAACAAATATGATATTCTTAAAATCTCTGGTTGGGTTCTGACCTTTTGTGATACTAAAATTAGATCAGTTTAATGGTTTGATTTGTTTTACAGTAATCCATAAACTTACAGCTCTCTTTACAAAAGGAAATAAAACACAAATTTATATTTCCAAAATTTTTTTAATCTTTTCTGTTTTTATGTCTCTTTAGGAGCTGATGTGGACAAAAAAGTTTGCGATGGAGCTGAAGATATAAAACTTGTGAAAAATGCGTACACTGACACATCTCAATTGCGGAATTCTAACATGGTGTACAAGGCTGTTTATGCAATAGCTCATGCGATACAAAACGTAGTCTGTGAGAAAAGTAATCTCACCATTCAATGTGACAAAAATTTCCGACTGGAGTCCAAACAGGTCAACAGACGAATMAATAAATCTCACACTTTTATTTTACCCATAACAATTTCGCATTGCTTCTTTTTCATGTTGCTTTTCTCTTTCAGGTGTTATCTGAGATAAAATTAGTCAACTTTTCCAAAAATGGTTATCCTGTATCATTTGATGCTAATGGWGATCCTGTGGCTTTTTATGAGCTGATCAACTGGCAGAAGAGTAAAAGTGGAGTTACTGAGTTGGTAACAATAGGATACTATGATGGATCACTGCCAAAAGGCCAGGAGTTTCGKATCAACAGGAACATAACCTGGGTGGAGGGTGGTACACAAGTACTTAAAAATCAGTTTGTGTACATTGTTAATAATCACAATGTTCACAAACTGTTTTTTTATTTACATTTGTCTGACAGATAACTGTCAGTGCACACTGAGAGTTATCTGGCTTAGTTGTCCTAGTAATAATAATTCAGCAAACTTAAAAAAATTAAAGTGTTCGGTACATCCCAAATGCTTACAGAATAACACAAAAGAGGTATTTTGTTTTTGTGACAGGTTCCAGTGTCAGTGTGCTCTGAGAGTTGTCCTCCAGGAACTCGTAAAGTGTTGCAGAAAGGAAAACCCATCTGCTGCTATGATTGTATACCATGTCCTGAAGGAGAGATCAGTAACACAACAGGTACAATAAAGCWATTTCCATCTTCATTTACATCCAATGCATGTTTCATGCTAACTGACATTTTTTTAAAGGTTCTCTCGAATGCCTCCAATGTCCCGGGGAATACTGGCCAAATGCAGAAAGGGATGCTTGTTTCCCCAAACCTGTAGAATTTCTGTCATTTGGTGAAATCCTGGCAATCATCCTGGCTGTATTTTCTGTTTTTGGAGCCTGTCTGGCCATCATAACAGCAGCTGTTTTCTTTTGTCACAGAACAACTCCAATTGTCAGAGCCAACAACTCTGAGCTGAGCTTCCTGCTGCTCTTCTCTCTGACTCTGTGTTTCTTATGTTCATTAACTTTCATCGGAGCTCCCTCTGAGTGGTCCTGCATGCTGAGACACACAGCATTTGGTATCACCTTTGTTCTCTGTATCTCCTGTGTTCTTGGCAAAACTGTAGTGGTTTTAATGGCCTTTAAAGCTACA